CCGCTGCTGGCTGCGCTGGCGCTGCTGGCCGCGCTCGACTGGTTGTGCCAGCGCCTGCTGCCCCCGCTGGCCGCACTCGCCGTGCTGGTCACCTCCGGCTGGATCGCGTTGTCCCGCCTGGCGCGCCCGCAGCGCCTGCCCGTGGCCACTCGCGTGGTGCTCATCACCGGTGAGTGGCGGAGCGCGGGGACTCCAGGCTCGAGGGCGGGACCGGACACCCAGAGGGCTCCCCGTGGGTTTGGCCAAGGAGGGTTCCCCAGCGAAGGAGTAGGAGGATCCCCCTCCCCAGGGTGCAGGGAGCGAGCCAGGTAGGAAGGGCTGAGCACCTCCACAAGTCCGGGTTTACTACCTGCCGCTGCGGGGAGTGTGGAGGGAGAGTGAGGCAGGGAGTGGGCAGGTGCGCAACGGAAACTGGTGGCTGAGAAAGGGGGAGCCTCCTGGGTTTGAAGGGCTTATGCTGTGCTCCTCCCCAAGAGAGAAGTTTTGGGGCGGGGGACAGTGCTCTGAGGGACTTTTGAGGGCTTGAGAAGAGTGGACAGTCATCCCTTGAACTCTGCCTAACATCCCCACGTGGGACTCCCCAGTTCCTATTCCCTGGGGCCAGAGAAAGAAGCTTAGGTGGGAACCCGTCCCCCACCCCCATTGACTGGAATCCCTGGAGTTCAGAAAAGCTTGAGATCACTACGAGGGGCAGCTGGGCATTCAGCTGCCTCTCAGATCCAGCCACTCACCGCCAAACTGCTGAGGTAGCAGTCCAGAGTCTGCCCCCAGCACCCCACTCCCCATCCCTCCAGGTCCTCAGTGCCCAAGGAGGAGGTGTTGCAGAGCTGGGCTCAGGTGCCTCTGGCCGTCTGGCTGAGCTCCCTTTGTCTGGAGCAGGGAATAAATCTGTCACCAGGGGGAGGGAAGGAAAAGGGGGGCTGGAGGCCCAGCCGGAAGTGGGGAGGGGTAGAAAGGCCAGGGGGCACTGGCTCTGTTGCGTGGGGGGAGGGGCAGTCTAGTCTTTCCCCCAACCCCCATGGCTTTGGACAGGTGCTCTGGGCTCTGCCTTTGCATTGGGCTTGGGCTGAGGACAGCCAGCAAACTGGCTTCTCAGAGACCTCGGTCCAGTAGGGGGCCCTGCTTGATCAGGTGGAACTGAGAGAACTTTCCAGAGGAGGAAATCCTTGAGCTGGGCCTCAGAGGATGAATGGAGATAGGTGGAGTATTAGAGGTGTCCTGGATCAGAGAAATGGGTGTGGGACAAAAGCTTAAGGCAGGAATGAGCATGGCAATGAGTAGGGGACAGTCAGTAACCAGTCTGGCTGTGGGGGTGTGGTAGGATGTGAGCTTGTGTTTCCTTGGGAGAGGCCTTGAATGTCAGGTAAGAAGCCAGACTGGGGCAGGGGGAGTAGTGGTGGTGAGAATGGCATGAGGGCTTTGGGCTTCAGCAAGGAGGGTGATTGAGCAGGACTCAGGCTGGATGGAAGACAGCCAAGTTCAGGGTGCAGTTCGAAGTCTCCTCAGGGGACCCTCTTTCAGGGATTTGAGGAAGGTAAGCCACCAGACCCTCCTGGTTTGAAACAAGGACTAAGTTGTGGGCTCTGCCACCAGGGACAGGGCAAATCCCCTCCTGCCTTCTCATTGTGAGCTGCCTCAACAGGACCCAGGCCATCTGCAGGTACTAGTGGCCCAGATGGGCAGTCTTTCCTGAGATCTCACCTCAGGCCTTTGTGCTGCTGTTACTTCTAGCCTTGAGCCTGAGAGACAGATGAGAGCAGGGATGCTTTCTGTGACTTCATCTCTGGTTGCAAAACTCGAGGGGTGTGGGTGGGGAAGAGGACTGCCCAGCCCCCCCTGTGCAAGTGTCACAAGTAGGCCTCCAAGCTTCCCAGTGCCCCAAAACTCTGGGGTTTCCTCTCTCATCACCTGACTGCAAGACAAGTAGGTGCCCATGTCCTGACCCACCTGTCAAGACCATTGTCCTGTGCCTGCCAAAGCTGCCACCCCCCTCCCTAATAATGCCCCTGAGACTGTTCGCCAAGGCTATTTCCAGAGCTCAGCTCAGCCGTGGGGTCAGGGATTGGGCTGAGTGGCTGGGTGCCATGTGTGCATGCATGTGCCCACGTGTGCACGTCTGTGCACTGATGGGGGTGGGGGGCAGGCAGGTTGGAGGTATGTGCAGGTATCTAAGTGTGTGCAGGTGAGCAAGAGAGTGTGCAAAACACACAGGACTGTGTTGTGACCACAGAGCTGAGGGTCTGGGAGGCCTTAGTTTCCCTGTGGAGGGCCTGTCTGCTATGGGAGGGAGTCGAGGCAAGTGCATACACATGCTTACTCTCTTCTCCCAACCTGCCCGGGAAGGACCCCTCAGCCAGGTGCACAAAGCCCAGCTTACAGACCCCTGCCCAGCTTTGTTCTCTGCCTCAGCAGAGGGGGCAGAGCTAATATGGGAGGGGGTGCTGAGCATCCAGGAGTGCGGAAGCAGAGCCCCTTCACATCTTCACTCAGCAGGGCCATGGGGGGGTAGGCTCCAAAAAGCCTCCTCCCACACTGGCCCTCCTTCTCCCTTCACCGGCCACGAAGATCAGAATGGGAAAATGGAAACAATCAAGGAAGCAGGGGCTTATCAGTACTATAGTACCCCAAACTGGCTCTGCCTGGTGGGTGTCTCTGCATACCAAAGAGAGGAAATTAAGCCTCCAAGAGTGGTAACTGACCTCAGGTGACACTTGGTGGGTGTGGGAAGGGATTCAAATACAGGTCTGTTCTTTTCTCCATCCATCACGGTCCCTGTGGGGCAAGTGGTCTGGAGCTCAGAGAATACCCCACTGTTGCTACTGATCGGAATTCCAAAAGTCGGGGGGAGTCAGAGGTGAGGTGGGGATGGCCCTTCAGCTTACCTAGATACTAGCACAATAGTAGGGGGTGTTGAGGCTGGGAAGGGGGGTGGGGGTCAGGTTGTTCAGGGTCCAAATAATGGTACCAGAAAGCTTGGGCTTCATCCTGAGGACAGCTGGGAAACTTGGAGAGGTTTTTAGCAGCAGAGTGATATTGTCATTTTTGGAAAGAACCCTCTGGTTGCTTAGGTAGAGAATGGATTCAAGGGGGCAAGATGGGCTGCTTCAATGTCCAGGTAAAGGAAGGGAGGCTGTGTGGTGATAATGTGCATGCAAGGTGTGGCCTAATGTCAAGCAGGCAGAAAGGACATGAAGGCTGGAACTGGGTCTCAGGACAACCTGGGATTGAATCCTGACCTTACTCTGTGCTGGCTGGGTGACTTTGAGAAGAAACTTAGCATTACTAGGTCTCAATTTCCTCTTCTGTAAAGTGGAGGTCATAAGCCATGGTAGCTGTGGGGAGTCAGGGAGATGACAGCTGTCACAGAATTGGGCTCAGGGCTCAGGAAGAGGGGCAAAGCCTGCCAAGGATGGGCCTAGGGAAGAAAGGAGGGCTGTCGACTGCTGGTGAGTTGGGTGTCCAGAGGCCTGGATCCCATCGAGACCCTGGTGATCCTGGGGTTGTCTCAGACTGGGACATACAGTGGGAATTCACTGACTGCCTTGCCCTGGCCAGGATGTGACTCTGGTTTTGGCAAGGAAACAGCCAAGAAACTGGACGCCATGGGCTTTATGGTGCTGGCCACTGTGTTGGAGTTGAATGGCCCTGGTGCCCTAGAGCTGCGTGCCTGCTGTTCCCCTCGCCTAAGACTACTGCAGATGGACCTGACCAAGCCAGCCGACATTAGCCAGGTGCTGGAGTTCACCAAGGCCCACACTACCAGCACTGGTGAGTGGCACAGCTCCACTAGGGGAGGGCATGGCCTGGCGGGCGTGAAAGGGGCAGAGACTGGAGGTTTGTTGCTGGACTGACCTGAGGCTTCCCTACCTGGCTCCATGCCCTCAGGCCTGTGGGGTCTAGTCAACAACGCAGGCTTCAACGATGTAGTGGCTGACGTGGAGCTGTCTCCGGTGGCCACGTTCCGCAACTGCATGGAGGTGAACTTCTTTGGCGCACTCCAGCTGACCAAAGGTCTCCTGCCACTGCTGCGCCACTCGAGGGGTCGCATTGTGACTGTGGGGAGCCCAGCAGGTGAATGCCCTTCTCCACTGGAGTGGGAAAAGACGACGCAGCAGTGGGGGAGAGGGTTTGGGGTAGCCCCTTGCCAAGGCTGAGCTGCCCCCCCCAATCCATCCCTAGGAGACATGCCATATCCATGCTTGGCGGCCTATGGGACCTCCAAAGCAGCCATAGCTTTGCTCATGGACACATTCAGCTGTGAACTCCTTCCCTGGGGGGTCAAGGTCAGCATCATCCAACCTGCCTGCTTCAAGACAGGTGGGAGTCCAGGCTGGGGGTAGGGTGTACGTGGGGCCTGGGGCTGGGAAATGAGGGGTGGGCAGTCTTATCAGGGGTGGGGTCAGGCCTGAGGAATGGGCGTGGCCTTGGCTGGAGGCATGGTGAGGGTTAAAAGGACTTTGGTTCCCCTAGCTGACCCCTCTGACCTTGCCACCTCTTCTCCAGATTCAGTGACAAACGTGGGCCAGTGGGAGAAGCGCAAGCAATTGCTGCTGGCCAACCTGCCCCAAGAGCTGCTGCAGGCCTACGGCGAGGATTACATTGAACACTTGCATGGGCAGTTCCTGCACTCACTGAGCCTGGCCCTGCCTGACCTCAGCCCAGTTGTAGATGCCATCATTGACGCGCTGCTGGCAGCTCGGCCACGCCGCCGCTATTACCCAGGTCATGGCCTGGGGCTCATGTACTTCATCCACTACTACCTGCCTGAGGGCCTGCGGCGCCGCTTCCTGCAGACCTTCTTCATCAGTCACTGTCTGCCTCAAGCATTGCGGCCTGGCCAGCCTGCCCCTACCCCCATCCAGGATGCAGTCCGGGACCCAGACCCAAACCTGGGCCCTTCCCCAGTGGCTGGTCGGTGAGCCATGTGCACATGTGGCTCCATGAGCCCTTGGTCCTCCCCTGGGCATTATGACCCCCCAAGCCTGCCCTAGAGCCTGGCCCAAAGAACCCCAGCTCCCCATTGCCAGTGCCCAGTCCCAACCCCATGAGGCTGAGGTTTCCCAGTGAGCCTCTAGGCTCCTCCACTTCTTCATGAGCCCAAACAGATCCTCTTGGGCACATCGCTCCACCTTGCTGCTTGGAGAACCCAGCTGGATGGGGAGTTTAGCGTGAGACTTCTCTGTAGCCTTTGACAGGACCCTGCAACTGCCTCTGCAAACTAAGGAGTGACTGGGTTTGGGGGACTTCCTCAGGATTGTTGCTCGGCACCAGCACCTCAAGGACACAACTGAAGGCTAAATCCCAACTGTCTCTTGACTGACTCAAGAAGTAGGGACCCAACCACCCACCTCCAAGCTTCCCAAGCACAGAGAAGCTGTATACCCTAGTTGCCTGACTGCCACTTTTTAAATAAAGACAAATTTTTATTTCTCCTAGAGTTGAGGATATGCCATGATTGGAGAGGGTGACTGCCTGGTTGCCTGGATGGCAGGTCGTGCCTGTGTGACAGAAGGTGGGAATTCTTGGGGCTCAGTATAGGGGTCAGGGCTCTGGGCACTGACCTGACTGGGCTCCCCTGGCAGGCTCTGTGGTTCACACCTTCCCCTCCTCCATTGACCTTAGGCAAATCATTTATCCATAGATTTGGGTTTTCTCAGAAATGGGGATAATGACTGATGCCAGGGAGCTGTAGGGCTCAGTGAAGCAATTAGGGAGGCCCAGTAGCCCTGCCTCTGCAACTGAGCCTCCAGCAGAGGAAGGAGCTATCTTCCAGTGACTCCCCTCACCCTGGGGGAATCTGGGTTGCTGACTGAGGGAGGGAGGGAGGCAGGAGGCTTAGGAAGAGGTGACTCAGCAAGGGTGGGGTCAGGAGGGGAGCTGGGGGTCTGGGGAGATACTAGGGCCCAAAAGAGACAGCAGACAGCAGACTTAGACAGGGCAGTTTTACTGTCTTAGAGTGGGAGAGCTGCAGGAGGGGGCTGCAGAGCTACTTCCCTCATGCCTCAAGGACACACACACTCTATTCCTTCCATAGGCCATGTGTCTGGGGGTGATCCACAGAGGGGAAAGGAGGCTCACACTGCCCCAGGGGTTCTCAGGTTAGGGAGGGACATGAAAGTGACCACATGCTTCTCAGACACGTCAGCGGCTGTAAACATAGGGCAGAGGGGGCGTCCTGGCTCTGGACGGGGTCTTGGTCCATTCTTGATGGGGGGAGCAGGTACCCAGCCCTTTTTCAGGCCTAAGAGCAGTCTCAGAGAGGGTTAGGGAAGCTGGGCAGCCACTAGGACAATGTGCTACCCCCCAGGGCAGGCAGGTGAGCCATGGGCTTCATCACAGCACACATAAACACAGTGCACTTGGGAGCCTTGGGCCAGGACGCTAGAAGATGGGGATGTAATTGTCGATTTTGGCGCGGTGGCGCTGGGCGATACACTCGGCAATCCACACAATGTTGCGACACTCCTGCTCCTTGAGCTTCACAAAGGCATAGAAGACGCCAAAGTGGAACTGGTTCAGGAAGGCCAACTTGTTCAGCTTCACCTGTGGACAGAGGCAGGTGTGATATGTAGGTAGCCATGGACAGAGTCAGGCCTAAGCCACTAACTCCTATGATGAGCAGGCCCTGCAAGATGTCTGGGCTCACCTCATGCTCGAAGAATCGGTCCTCCAGGGTCTTGTCTCCAGGGTTGCTCCCTGCACCCTCAAAGAGCAGTTTGTACTCCTGGCAGGCGGAAGTGGTGAGAGGCATGAGCATGAGGGTGCTGGGGGATGCCTGGTGCCAACATGCCTACCCACTGTCCGGCCAGCCAGGGCACTCACCGGGTAGTAATCAGCCACGTTCTTGACCTGCTCATAGTCATCGGCCCGAGCCAGCTGAGCCAGGCCCTCAGGGTAGAGACGTCCGCAGTGTGGAAAGAGCTTGGCTCGGTCCTCCTTGGACAGTTCTGTGCCGAAGGAGTTGATGGTGATGATGAAGGCACGACGGTCTGCTTCAAACTGCACAGGCAGTTTGTGGGGTCAGGGCACAGGCAAGCAGAGAGAGAAGAAGAGGGGGGCAGTAGCCAGTCAGTGGGCAGGGTTTCCTCCAGGCCAGGGCTAGTGGGGACCAGTAGGCAGGAAGATTGGCAGGCACTCACCTCCAGGATGGGGCACATGGCATCAGCTGTGGTCCCTCCCAGCAGAGTGCAGAACTTGTAGAAGGACTCCAGGTAGGCCTATACAGAACACGAAGCTGGCTCAGTGCAGGCACAGAGACTCGGGAGGGCTTGCTAGGCCTCCTACTCACAGTTCCCTCCCCTCTCCTAGCCCGTTTCATGGTGGGTACAAACAACACACCCATAGACTGGTCAGGGAAACCCTTAGGCAAAGCCCCTGAAACATCCACAAATTCCAACCATTAATCAGCAGGCAGCAAGCAGTAGCCTGTTGCCTCCCACCCAGGAATAACAGAGCAGTTTCTGGCTGGCTATCTGCCTCAGGGTGCAGGGTCCCCCACTCCCTCATCCCACAGAGGTCCAAGCTCAGAGAAGGTTCTGTCTTCCTTTTCCGCAGATCTCCCCAAACCTCCCCTTCCTCAGAAAGCCAGGTGTCCACAGGCTAGTGAGGGAAGGTTACTGCTGAGAGTTCACAGAGATGGCCTGGACTGTGTGCCCTTAGTCCCTCTCTGCACCGTACCTTACAGAACACATCCTCCTCCCATCCCCCAGGTATCACACACTACAGGAACCAAATTGTCAGGCCAGTTCCTGCTGAGGGATGATTATTGCCTACATGGACGTCAGCCTCACAGTACAATGGCTGGGCACACAGGCTGCTGGTGGGAACAAGCGCTTCCTGCCCAGACAAATTGGATCTGCTGGGCACAAGGAAAGGACAGGTCAGCCTAGGCCCCAGGTCCCTCCCAAAACTCACTCACAAAACCAGCCAGGCTTTCTTCTCCACATCTCTCCATTCCAAGGTAAGCGGATGGTCTCCCAGTCCCCATGGACACCCTTTACTTAGACCCCCTGTGTCCCCATTTGGTGGCATGGTCACAGAGACTCTGGCTCCACAGGCTGAAGACTATTCTTCCAAGTTGGGGACTTTCCATGCTGAGGTCTGACCTCCAAGGTGTGGAGACCTTTCTACCAACCACCAGCTGACTTGGGCCCACAGCTCTGCTGCTTCAGGAGAGATGAGACCTAGGCATTCATAAGCCCAGACGCAGCCTGGCCAGCAACAGTGGGCAAGCTCGGCTCAGGGAAGGGCCTGAGGGTGATCACTAGGGTCACAGGAAACAAGAGTTTAGTACAGGTTGGGGAGTGAGAAGCCTGGAAGAGAGTAGACCACAGCACAGAGGATCCCCAGGAATCAGAGGGCCTGGTAGCAGACGTCTGCCAAATCCTTCAATGGCTTGATGGTGCTTTTCAGTCCCTCTAGGAGTCCCCAGCCACCTCCTTCCTTGTGGCCAGGCACACTGGCTACACTGAAATCCTGAGGTCTGCCCCAGTGGGGCCTGCAGTTCCTATCTGGGGAAGCCACCAGCCAGGTCTTATGTTCCACGCCCTGCTACCCACCCATTGACTTAGCCAAGCTGTACCAATCCCTGGAGAGGCTGACCACAGGGTCAGGGAGGCTGGTGGGATAGACCCAGACTCTCCTCTAGAGGCGAGGGCAGCTAAAGAAACTGGAAAGACACCAGAGGCCCAGGTACCAAGGTCACCTCCCCACCACCACCCTGTCCCCAGGAGTCTGACAACCTATGGCTGCTGCACCAGATGCCTACAGTTCCCACCCTCCAGGCAGCTGAGGGTCTACTTAAACTCCCATCTGTGGCCACTGGGCTGGGACATCGCCTGATGGGTGGGCGGTCCTGGCACAGGGCCCAGAGCGTTGGGTCGGTGTTTATGAGCTGGTGCCTGGACAGCCCTCACCAGCAACTCCAGCTAAAACCAGTCAGGCCTGGTGAGGGTATGGGTGAGGCTGGGGGAACAGCTGTACCCCTCACCCTGTCTCAGGGCAGGGAATCCAGCAGTGGTCCAGCTAGGCAGGCAGGAGTACACAGAGTGTGTACACACACGCACGCACGCTTTCAGCTGACTGGCTGGCCTGGCTCCCTGTTAGTGGGGTGCATAAGAGCACTTGCTTTTGCAAACAGGCTAAACCAGGTGTGATCCTGGTGCTGCAAGTAACTTACTATGTGGCTTTAGGCAACCCATTCCACTTCTGTGAACCCCCCATTTCCTTATGTTACAAATGAGGATAACAAGAGCTACTTAGCTCCTAGTGTAGTCCTGAGGATTAAAGAAGTCAATGACCTTCCTACCTCTGTCTCATACCCTCTCATTTGCCCTCCACACTGTGGCCAGAGGGGGCTTTCTGAGAATACTCTGCTCTGCTGGAAACCTTCGTTGGCTGATCCTTCCCACAGGATAAAGTTCAAACTTCTAACCTAGCATTCAAAGCCCTGGGTGACTTGATCTGCACCTGCCTCTTCTTCCAGACCTCTCTCCTACTGTCTATCTGGAACCTGCACTTCCACAGCAAACCACTTGCCACTTGGCCCATGCTCCGCACTTTCCTTCTGCACACGCCATTCCCCTGCTTGCAACATTGCAACCTCCAGGTAGACCCTTCACCTGCCACCAGACCCTCACTATGCTCTGGCCCAGGCCCCTGCTGGGAGACCGGAGGGTCTGGGCTCAGGCTACAGCCAAACGTCAGCCAACCAGCCCCAGCCAGGGCAGGAGAGGCCCCTCACTATAAAGAGCTGACAGACAGGTACTCTCGGGGTAAGGTCAGCAAGTCCCTTGGCTCATACCCCCCTTAAAGACTAGTCACTGCTGATGCAATGTTCCTGCTAGAGCCCATCAGGGGTCCTGGTACCATAGCTCGGTACCTCACCACAGCCAGAGCCTAGTCTGTCCCAAATGTCCCTAATTGGTCCCTGGCTCTCATCTCTTTGGGCCAGAGCAGTGCTAACCCAGGAATCCCAAGCCCACCCTCTATCCCCAGGGGTCGCCTAGTCTGTGCCACAGCCAGGTGGGAAGTGGAAAGTGGGTAGGGGATAAGGATAATAAGAAGTGGCACTGGCTCTGGACTTGGGAACCTAAAAGGGACATGAGGACCTGGCTGTGCCTGGCTGGGTACCTCCCCCCACCATAACTGAACATACTCAACTGAGCATGCTCAAGTACCTGTCCTTGCTAGCAACAGACTGTTTGGGGTGGGCCCAGGGGCTATGGCTTGGATGGTGGCCTGTGACCCTCCTGGAAGCTGGGGGAGTGGCCATCGAGGAGCCAGCTCTAACAGGCTAAGTGGTGGAGCACCAGGCACTCCTGCTGATCTTATCTGAGTCCACTCCAGGTGCTACAGGATGGAGAATCTGTTCCATGCAGACTTGCACCCATCTCAGGCGCCGGAGAGTAAGTGGATAAGCCCCCAGGACAGAAGCCT